TTGAAACAGTGTAGGACTATCAACACAAAAAAAAAAAAAAAAAAAAACAACTGGGCTGGGGTTGCTGGGTTTTGGTATTGTTTTCAGTTGTCCTTTTTTTTAACTCCAGTGTATGTGGGCACACCCATACTTGGTGTCTGAAGATGGGTAATTCACCAGTATTTCAAGTTTCGTATAAGCAAAAAAATTGTCCTCTAGAATATTCTCCATACTTTTCCACCAACAGACAATATTCTGTTCATTGAAATCACAGAATACCCTGAGCTGGAAGGGATCCACAGGGACCATCAAAGGCCACCTCCTTGCCCTGCACATGACAGCCTAAAGAATTAGCACCATGTGCCTGTTCCCAAAAGACTGTGTGTATGTTTGTATATATTTGTTCCCCTGCTCCTTCTCACAGATCAAAAGAGCATACAAATGTGATACTTCTTCCACACATCTGCCTCTTCTTGTTGTTCCAACAAGATCACCAATTTACAAGCCATCTTCAACACTGCCTACTTATCAAATTTCTAGACCAGAGTCTCTTTAACAGTGTTTTCACAGTAACACCCCCACTGTGACAATCAACTTACTTTAACACATTTTTCTGGTAGACTCCTAATCTTTCTTCCCATCCCACAAAAAAAATGCAAAATATGGGTCAGAAACTGCCATCTTCATCACTGTTTTTCTTCTGTTTGTCTGTCTCAGCTTATCAGGTTCATGCACACACACATTACAGAAGGTATAAATATTCCTCAAACAATTCCACAAAAGCTGAAAACCCACAGAGGGTTTTCACCACCTCCCAAACATTCCCCCGCTGCCACTCCCATCTGTGACAGCAAACAAATAACACATGCTGCATAAATTCTGGTGCCTGAGAAACTCATTCATTATTCCCTCCCCCAGAGAAGCACTGAGACCCCAGCTTACAAACACCAAACAGTGAGATCTCACTTTCCCACACAGACAGGCTTACAGTGTACACAGGAGTCTAACAAAACCATGTGGGGCCTGTAACACCATCATCCCCTTCCCTTACCCAAAAAGTAAGCTGAGCAGACTAATAAAGCATAAATGTGGTAATGACTATTTTAGCTAAGTAATAGTGGGCCTGCTTATAAAATTCATCATACTAATTTCTGCCATGCACATTACCTCAGAGTCTCTCTACTGTAAGAAATTAATTTGCCCCCTGCTTCTTTACAAGTTTTTATTTTAGGATCCCCTTCACTCCACAAGTAACACCAACCAAGAACCAACCTTTGTTACTTGCTAGCGCTAGGTCTTTGCTTTTCTTCTAGAATGCTACACAATCCAACTCAGACAAACTGTTACCACACTTAGATATTCCAGGACACAATCTGCCTTAAGTATATAATTATTTACATGAGTTTGCTTATTTCAAGAAATAGACCTATGTGGTCTGGGCCTGAACAGCAACCACTTTCTATCAGAAAGAGTAAAACCTATGTGAATATATTTTTTTAAAGGGAAAATCTGTCTGAAAGTTCTGTACCCCAACAGCACCATGTCACCATCACTGCCAGAACTGTAGAGTGTGCTGGAGTAACTGATAGAAACTGTAAGTTCAAGTGGGAACTTCTGTTGAGCCTTGTTCAGCACACCTGTTGTAAGCCACTCAGACCTTCTCAGTGGTTCTCATAAGCACTTCCAATGAGAGATAGTTCTCCCTAAATTCACAAAAAATGCTTACCTTGCTACTTATGGATGGGTGAAGCTTTTGCATTGTTTTCTAACTGACAGGCAATGGAGAACTCAGCTTCTAAGACCAAGTGAAGATATTAAAAGCAACAAAAATTACTTGCTGTTCATTATATCCCTGCCCTAAACCACAACTACAACAGAATATCTGCCACTCTCTCTGTCAAGAGACTTTCCACACTTTAAAAAATACACCAAAAAATCAAAACAGAACATAGAGAAAAGATATACAACACCCAAAGCAAAATACAAGGAAGGCATATGTACAACTGAAGACAGACACAAAAAAAGATATCAATCTGTTTATTATAGTACAGGATGTATTAAGGATACAAGATTAGGTAAAAATATTCAGCAATCTCTGTATTCCTAAAAGGACAGAATGGATTTACCTTTCTGTAGACCAATCTATGATTTATTTCTGGTGTTAAAAACAGAGATGTTAATTGACTAATTTGTACATTCTGTGTTTTCAATTATTAATATTACTGTAACTCATTTATGCAACTACTGCATTAAATCTATTGATTAATACAATGGCAGGATGCTTAAAACTTATTAAGTTGAACTTGGTTTTAGTTTAAACTCATCTTTAAAAGGCTTCAAAATTTTATTTAGTAATTACAGGCCTCAGAAACACAAAAGAATCAACTGAAGTCACTCACTGAACAGTGTCACTATTTGAGTGACCAGTTCAAAGAGGAAACTGTATTTAAATATTTGAAAATAAGCCTTTTCTCCAAGAGATTTTGTATTTATTGATTACTTTTTTTTTTTAAATCAGAAACAACCATACTCACAGTATGTTTCTTATGATATATAAACTTGCCTGCATTAAACTTCCAAGTTATTCTCTCCTCCATGTTGCCCAGGGAACCCTTTTTTAGTATGATATTTCTTAAGACAAAAAGCTTAACAGCACAGGAGCACCTACTGACATCTTGGTAATATGTCTACCAGGAAAATAATATCTCTGATCTGGGACAATAAAGATGCTCTTAAAAGTAAAGAAAATATAAAAAATTGTTATGTCAAAGAATTCTGAAGATTTTAAAGGGACTACTCTGTCCTTCTAAACTGTTTCTTCCCCCTCCAGTGAAGATCTGGCCAAATTATGTAGTTAATATACAACTTATAGTCCACCTCTCCCTCTTCTAATACACCTTGACTTCCTGTTGGAAGCACAACAAGACAATAGAAGCACTCCTGCAATATCCTTCCAGAACTGGCAAACTCCCAGTACTCAGAAGGCACTCACAGCAGCTCCCTGTACCTGACTTAACAAAGCACTAGGGAGATAAACAGCGCATTAGCTGCTTGGCAGTATTTGCCTGAGCACAGGCAAACAGGCTCACTCTCAGTAAGGGGAAAAACACACATTTTCAAGAGTGGCTGAAGTGTTACTTATGGTATGGATTAACACCCTGCATCCTATTTACCCTTTCAGCTTTCATATGCAGTGAGTTTTTCATCTCTCAACTTCTATAATCACAGAAGAGACCTTCAAGATCGAGTCCAACCCCATGGCACCCAGTGCCACATCCAGTCTTTTTTTTAAACACATCCAGAGGTGGTGTCTCCACCACTGCCCCAGACAGACCATTCCAGTACTTTATCACTCTTTCCATAAAAAAACTTTTTCCTAATATCCAACCTACATTTCCCTTGGCACAGCTTAAGACTCTGTCCTGTGGTTCTGTCAGCTGCTGCCTGGAGAAAGAGACCAAGCCACACCTGACTACAGCCACCTTTCAGAAGTTGTAGAGGGTGATCAGGTCACCTCTGAGTCTAATTTCTCCAGGCCAGCTGGATGCAGCTCCATTCACCAGCACTCTCTGGGCCTGGCCATCCAGCTAGCTCTGAACCTAGCAAAGAGTGCTCCTGTCCAAGCCATGGGCTGCCAGCTTTTCCAGGAGTGTGCTGGGGGAGACAGTGCCAAAGGCCTTGCTGAAGTCCATGTACACAACATCCACAGCCTTTCCTGCATCCACCAGGCAGGTCATCACCTGGTCAGGTTGGTCAAACACAACCTACCCCTCCTAAACCATGCTGGCTGGGTCTGATACCCTGGCCATCCTGTAGGTGCTGCATGATGACACTCAATATAAACTGCTCTATTACCTTACCAGGTACTGAGGTCAGGCTGGTCTATATTTACCAGGATCTGCCTTCCAATTTGTGAATGGGCACTGGCACATTGGGCAGCTTCCAGTCCTTTGGAACCTCACCAGCGAGCTAGGACTGCTTGTAAATGATGGAAAGCGGCTTCGCAAGCTCATCTGCCAGCTCCCTCATCACCCTGGGATGGATCCCATCTGGGCCCATGGATTTATGAACATCCAAGCAGCTCAGCAGTTCTATGACTGCCTCCTCCTGCATAACCACCCTGCTCCCTGACACCATACACCAACCCAGTAGGACAGCTGTGCTGAAGACAAGCTGTTTCCCACTAAAGGCTGAGGCAAAGAATGTGTTAAGCACCTCTGCCTTCTCCTCACCTGCAGTTACAAAGTTCCCTCCACATCCAGTAGAGAACAAAGGATCGTATTACCCTTCCTTTTTGTAATTAATATATTTGTAAAAACTTTTTTTTTATTATCCTTCACAAAAGTTGCCAAATTAAGTTCAAGCTGAGCTTTGGCCTTCTTGGTTTTTTTCCTACATGCCCTAGTAACCCCCCTAAATACTTCCTGAGAGAGACCTGACCCTCCTTCCAAAGATGATAGATAGTCTTTTTATTCCTAAGCTCCCATCCAGTCTGGACATTTGCCTCGTCGACTCATCTTTGAGCACACACGGACAGTCTTTTCCTGAGCCCACAAGATCTTTGTTTTGAAGCACGCCCACCTCTCCTTTGTTTCCCTTTGTGGACTCCCTTTGTTTTTAAGGGCTGCTTTTCCTAAGGAACTCTCTGAATAAGTCTCCTAAACAGGACAAAGTCTGCCCTCCAGAAGTCCAGTGTAATAGTCTTATTGATGTTCCTCCTGATTTCACCAAATATTGAGAATTCTAATCTCATGATCACTACACCCCAAGTGGTAACCTTTGTTGTAGTGAGAACATGCAAAAATAAGGTGGAATATATACTTTGTTTCCCTGACACCACCACCAAAGATGAAAACTTATTTAGTACCCGACAGTAAAGGCATAACGAAAGAAATTATTACTCTTCAAATTATGGAAACTATCAATGCAGATACTAGCAAATTACTAGTGTTTAGAGAAGAGATTAAAATACCATGCAGCAGCTTTTAGTCAATGAAAAAAGAGTAAGACAACATTAGTACCTCCTATTTTCAGCCAAATTTGCACCTTCATCCTTGAGCTCCTTACTTTTCCTTACACAATCTTCTAAGAGAACTTCCTTTCTTCTCTTAGCTGCGAGCACCCAGTTAGCATCATCATCGTCACCCAGATCCTCGTCATCCGCAGCTTCTGCTTCAAACTGCTGAGAAGTAGCTTTTGAGACTTTCTCACCAATCTTCCTCTTCCACCCAAAAGAAGCCATCAGGAGAACTAGGAAGAATGCATTTTAAATAGTTAGGTAATTTTGCTTTTGAGTACACAGCAGGAAAATCACCCCTCGCTCATCTCGAAGCTAAAGCGGTAATACAGAGCAGCACTCCCCCACAGGAATTTATGCGATCGGCTGCACCGGAGCTGTCCCTCAGGCACGCCAGCCCTGACGCCCGCGGCGGTACCTGGCGCTGCCGCCGGCCGCCTCTCCCGGCTGGAAGCGCCGCGGCAGGAAGCGGAAAGGCGGGGCGGCACGGCAGGAACCGGGCAGGAGCAGGAAGGAGCAAGAGCAGCGGCAGTGCCCGTGGCCCCGGCGGCGGCAGGGGCAGCCGGGAGCCGTAGTTCGCCCAGGCGCGGGGCGGCAGGGCCGCGTGGAAGCCGTGAGGCGCCCGGCCCTGTTCGTATGAGGCGGCGGCGGAGGGGACAAAACAGCCGGGCCTGGGAGTGCCACCGCCCGTGGTGCTCGAGTGTCACACGGGGACAGGTACGGGACGGCGGAATGTCCCCACCGTGTGCCGACTGCGCCCTGGGACAGCGGCACCCGCCACGGAGAGGCGGCTCCGGCCGGGAAATCCCGTAAGGAGAAGTGACCCAGGCTCACAAGCACGGCTTTTTCTTCTGTACGGAAAAAAACCACCACCACAACTAAAACAAAACAAAACAAACATACAAAAAACAACACCACCACTACCCCCCAAGAAACCCCAAAAGCATTTAAAAAGGCCAACACAAAACAACAACAAAAACTCAAACCAAACAAAAAAACCTCAACCCCTCCCCCCCCCAAAAAAAACAAAAAAAACCAAACAAACACACAAACCAAACAAAAAAAACTCAACAAAAAGAGAAGACAGGGTTCAAAATTGCAGGGAGGCAGTGTTTAAAACTGGTCCCTGCAAAGCCCATCCGTGGTGCGAGGGAAAGGCTGAGTGAAGATGCGAGAGGAGGCGCATCACCACAGGGGCTAAAGATACGTGGTCAGGGGTTGTTCCGTTTCAAATTCCTTTTCTGCAGCAAGAGTTTACAAGATCAAGAGGGAAAGGGTTAGTCAGATCAGGCGAGCACAGCTGGTGCACCAGCTTGTACAGCTGGGAAATCTGTCATTTTTGTCATGTTGCTGCTTTTTCTGTAATTCTAATAGCTGTTGTTTTTCAAATGAGTGTAACAGTTCTTGTCCACTTACATATAGCACTAGAAAACAGCAAGCACACAGTTTCAAACAAGATGGTTCAGTATTTCATGTTTACTTAGTTTTTAGTTTCGAAAGTTTAAAAAGTTATACAGTTAGAAACAAGCATTTTTGCCATTCAGCTTTGTCAAAAGAAATTAACAGGAAGTAGGCACATCTTTGTTAAAGAACAGGACTTTGTATCTTACACTGGTAATCAACTGGTAAAATTAAATTTAGCTCTAAGTTTGTATTAAACATTCATATCAAGACAAACATGAAAGAATTTTTTTCTTCATATTGCACCACCAAGATGAATTTTTATCCATTACCTAGTGATTTATATTGCACATGGACAGCCCAGGTTCATCCATGTTACTGAAAAAATTACAATACAAAGACAAGGTAACTCATTGTACTCCAACAGGAATAAGCTGGGGAATACAGAGTAACACGGTTTACCAGTTAGTGTATCTGCCTTAAAACTCTGGCAGCTCTCTATGAAGTTTCATTTCACAGCCTATTGGCAGCTTTTAGTGCAATCCAAAAGGTCTGCAAGATCAGTAGGAACATGTGAAGAAAGCAATTTCAATAGCAAGATCTACAAAGCATAGGAAAGTCACACAACAGGCAACTGGGTTCAACTTGGTTGTTAGTGCCCCTTTCTACCCCTCCCCCTCCCTATAAAAATCTCAGTTCAATCAGAAAACCTTGGGCCATCAAAATTGATCTACCATAAAAATGCACTTTTATTTACAATGACATATATTGTACACTTCTTTCAGAAACTTGCTTTAACCTCCTGATACCAAAACTAAGGACAAAGCAGGGTTGTCTTAAAGTACAAGAGGGTTGAAATGTATATAAAATTAAGAACTATTTTGCATCTTTACACCTTGCATGTGTTGTCAACATTACAAGGAGCAGACAGCATTTATAAATAGTTCAATATATGCAAGTGATCCCAAACCAATTCCAGATGAGGAATTGCTACAATTTAAAAACCTGTGCGTTTGTAGTATTTATACAAGTGCAATACTTAATTCCAAAATAAAGGGTAACAAAAATGAACACACTGATTTATTCAGTACATCAGTACCAATTCGTACAAAAATAAAGACAGGACTTCTTTGTAGGATTTGCAATTGGTCCCTCACATTGGCATCTTAAGGTTTTGGGTTTCAACTTTTGATACTAACTTCCACTTTGGAAAATCTTCCACTTTAAGGTACAGCTAACGTCACTACAGGGACCATCTGTGACATATGAGGATAAAAAAATGAAGTTGTAAACTTGCACCCACCTATGAGACAGACCTCACAATCACGCAGTTCAAAACAGTTACAGCAGTTCAGGGGCTCCAAAACAGCCTTATGTTTTTTCAGAGTCTGTGCATGTGAATTTCTGAGCTGCAGGCAGCTGGCCAGGATTTAAACTGTTCCTATATCTGAACCTAGCAGTTTCCCATGGATAAAATCTCAGCCATTGGCAAGAATTTCCATCCATGTGAAGAGTCCAGGTTTCACTGCTCATAGTAATGCCTGGAGTTCCAGCCTCTTCCGGGGGAAGCAACCTTTGAAACTATGTAGGTCATGAATATTATTTTGAAGCAAGCATTAAGACTTGAATGCAAAACTAAGTACTTTATGACTGTTTAGAGCTACTAAGTGCCAGATGAAAATGGAACCATGGCTAATTATATCCAATTCAAAGAGACTGAAGGTTTTCATGCAAGTACTACCTATGATTTTAACATATGAAGTTCAGGTTTTTTCCTGAAATGCTACAAAAACCATAAATGCAGAAGGACTTTTATTATGGGTAATTACAATCTAGTTAAAAATTCTAGCACTCAAGTTGTCATGATCAGTTTTCAATGCTCAATTGAAAAGTTAGACCGTTTAATTCAATTAAATAGTTAAGTTTCCTACAGAGGTCACCTGGGAAAAATTAGGAACCTGTGTATGTTGTTTTCACCTCATACTGAATACTATATAGTATATTATAAGTTAGTGTCATAACCAGCTGTATCAAAACATGAACATATATGTTAAAAACCTGTAAATTTCAGATTCTGGAAAAGCATGAAACAGCCTTCAGGCTCTGCTCTGAACTACAGGGACATGTTTCTATGGAAAAGAACATTGGTCTGCAGTAGCAATGGGGAGCTGCTAGGCTGCCACCACACCAAGATAACATGTACAGACAAGGAGGAGCTTCCTCACAGTTTCTCCAAAAAGCAACATTTTGGTTTGGCCAAGGGATGCCACATCTTCTCAGCATTAAGTCTCCTGCCACTGTTATGGACTCAATCATTCTACTCACTGTCCACAGAATGTTAACCCTCAATTCATTACAGAGCACCTACACATTTCCAACTGGCCAGCTTTGCATGCCTTTAATAACACTTTTTGTTAAAAGTAGTACATTGTAACACATCACAGCATTCTTTATTGTTGTTTAATCAAATAAGGGGGAAGAAACATAGCAGTTTTAACACATTAACATCTGTTAGGAAATGCTGATAGGTGTGAGTCACAACTGCAGAAGGTGACCAAGTCATACTGAGATTACAGAACTAGTACGTGTATGTTAACTTACAGTGCATCAGATACATGTGTAACTAGATAAAAAAACAAGGAGATCCATCTAGCTTAAATGTTATAGGCAGCCTATTTTGCACTCAAGGTAAAATGTTACAAACACTACCCAAAGGGCATGTTATTTCCTGTACCTGTGTTATACTATTGGACAGCAGGCAATCAGAATTCACTCCAGCTTCAAAACAATACGCGTTAACTGCCCATAATAATTTTAATCCCCATGCAAATTGCATTATGTGGCTAGCTTTTTCAGCGCCTTAGTTAATTTCACTTGATTATAATTGGAAGCATCTGACTATGACTTAGGCATGCTTATTGCTCTAAAAGAAATAAGCCCATCTTCAAAATTACTGTGCAAGTATTTTAATAAGATTTGCACACATCTCAAAAAACTCAATCGTATGACTCCCTGGTCTTGGAGTTACGTCAGCTGTGGAAGAGTCAAGCGAAGAGTTCACTGATGAGGTAAGGGATGTATCTGCAGATTTTCCTTGAGCATCAGCATCTGAATCTTTTTGGCAAGATTTATAGTTGCTCACAGAACCTGATCTCTGTGGAGTAGCAGTCCCAGACTTCGCTTCAGCAATTTCATCTGGAACAAGGGAAGAGAAGAGGAAAATTTGGTACCAGTATCAAATCAGTTCTGAGAAGAACAAATATCTTCCCCTTCTCACACTTCAAAATCTTGTCTTTTAAAATCTTGATTAATAAATGAACAGCTTTTGCAAACAGCATTTGATACAAAATAAAAGCTTGTATGCATAGTAGCACAACAGCAAGTGTTCTTATGCTAATTCTTTCTGTGCTCTGAACTATATTTCAAGACTGTTTACATAAAGTTCAGACTAATTCTAACTGTATTTTTCATTAACTGATTTTCAGCAGCCAATTGTTCAATTTAGGTTACTCAAAACAAAAACAGGTCAGCATCATAAGATTAAGTTCAATAGCAGTTTGTAGATGTTTTTCCTACAATCCACTTTATTCTATTTTTGTCCTCTTTTGGGTATTTACATACTGTTATTATTTGTATTTTATGATAATTCATTACAACATTACACTTGTTAGCATCTGTATTCATTTATTCTTCTCTTTTGAAAGTTTTTTACCATAGACTGTATATTTAGGCTGCAGCAACTTAACTTTACCTTCAGTATAAAGAGAAAATAGTTACATATTAATAGTAGTGTTCTGATGAAGTATCTCTATTCTTATTTTAAATACTGAACATTAACTTGGCTCTAAGCTGGCTCCTGAAAAATTCTTCCAGGAGAAATCGGTGAAAAGGCAGTATCTCTTGTTCACACAAAGCTACTTAAATTTACAAATTGTTAAGAGGAACAAAGAACCATTAACCATGGCAGAGAGAAGGAATGTCAAATCAGTTTAACTATTGGAAGAGATACAACAAATCTGTGCCCTTGGGTTGTATTTCCTCAAAAGTGGAAACCAGGATTGTAGCAGGCTGCCCTCCCACAGCTGCAAAAAAAAAAATTCTTTTTTTCCATGCAATGTTTTCCTAGGTACGTCATCTACATCAGTGGCTGTAGTCATTTTCTTTTAGCCTACTATGCCCATAAACAAGTGTTCAGTCTCTATTAGCTCCTATGCTCACTTCACCTAACCAGGCTGTATTACTGTCACTCCATAAAATATATTTTTGTACAGGTTAAACCTTTCAAGATTTTAGTTCCTGCAAGCATAAAATTCCTACCTCAAATTTTACCTACTAGTAGAACTGGTGGGTTAACTGCCTCGCAGCTGCTCTCTCAGCACAAAGGGAAAGAACATTGGAAGGGCAAATAAACAATTTTAAGCAAGGTGTTGGGGCAGGGGGGAAGGTGATGCAAAGACAACCACTCACTATCTCCAAAGCAGACTGATGCCCAACCAGTCTCAAGGTTACCTTCCCCACTCTTTGCTAGGCATAACATAATACAGCATTGAGCATCCATCCCTTTGATCACTATGGCTCAGCTCTGCAGAGCTGTTGCTCCCCTCCCAACACAGCAGTGTGGAAAAAGAAAGGCTGGATACTATGCCAGTGCTGCCGAGCAACACTCAGCAGCAGTGTGTTATCAATACTGTTTTTGTCACAGATCCAAAACAGCACCACGTAGGCTGCTAGGAAGAAAATTAATTCCATCTCAGTCAGACCCAGTACAGTGAGGTACAGTCCAAGTCAAATGTAAATGCCTAGATGTCACATTTATCTTCACTAGAAAACACTGTTCACATGCTTACTTCAAATCTAAATTAATGTTTATATTTGGGGTGAGGCTCCAAAGTCAGCTTAAGTTGGTCCCAATTTCACCTCCAACAATCCTGTCCCCTTTTGCACTACTGGTATTAGTTCTGATGCAGACAAAAAATGGAGCTCCTCAGGAGCTGATATAGCAAAAAAGTAAATGGGATGCAGCAGCTAAGCACGTGTCACTGGGACACTAATCCAGGAAGGAATAAGGAAACACTAATACAGGTTAGATTTAAAATAAAAAAAGGGCAACACTTCACTTCTAAATAAGTAAATAAATACATGCTTGCAAGTAGAATGATTTCCCCTACAACTCAATTAACTTCAGTAGTTCTTCACATACCATCAATACTACGGAAGTCCAGTAAGTATGTTCTGCTGTCCACCTGATACAACTGGAGACTCATTTTGGAATATGCACTTGTTACTGGATTCTTCCTCCGAACACGCAGATAATATGGATTTACAACCTAGCATGAAAGAGATTTGAGTCAGTTAACCAGAACCACTTGACAATCACTGCATATTGCTTTTGTCCTTTCAACTCAATAGTATTTATCAAGTGATTTCAGACTTCATTACCTGTTGGATTTGAGGGTTATTGGGGTTTTTTTTTTAGCCAAGAGAAATATATTCCTGCAGCCCCAAGAGAAAATTTTAGCCTTTTTTTTCCTGTCCGCACGTACATTCTCTCCCCAAAACCCTTCTGGCACAGCAAACACAGACAGCACAGGCACATGAGATTAATGCCAGAATACGAAGAGTTTCAGATGTCTGGGCTATGTAACTACAGAGCTCAAACTAAAGTGCACTGCTGTTTGCTGTAAAGGTCCTCTATTTTGTTACCTTCCATTCATAATCCAGTTGTTTAATTGCTCTACAAACTTCAGCCATGATATCATTTGGTCGACTCTGACTCCGTATTCCCAAGTGCCATTTAGCCCGTCTTACACCTTGGTGTTTTGACTTCTGTGGATTCAGCTCATCAAGGGTGTGGCGAGGACGTGGTGCTTCAGCTACTAAAAATGGCACTCGTTCAGGGTGAGGGCGAGACAGGTGATGATCATCCAGAAAAGAATCCGGTGGACTTGTGGCCAAGTAGAAGTCTTTGGCCTCGTTCATTATTCTTCTGTTATCTATAATGAGGTGATAAGCAACAGCTAGAGGGTCCTGATGATTTCGGCTGTACAGACAACTTAGCACTTCCTCTTCCGTGCATTCAAACTTCTCACACACTTCTTTTAAGGCTTCATCATCAATCATGGTAGAGCTATATGATGGATCTTCAGGAAACAAGTATTTTGGAAGATCCTGCTTAAACCACTCATGTTCCCTAAATTCAAAAATAAAAAATTCTGAGTATATGTAAGTAAAGAAAACATTTATAGCAGGAAATTCCTTTAAAATATAAAGTGAATTTTAGTCTGTGCTGGAAGAAAGAATAATGGTTGCCAGTCCAAGACCCCTTGTAGCACAGACAATAAAACAGTACCTAAAGTAATCACTGCCTGAACAAGATTTTACTAGACATTTTGCAGGAAACTGAAAAAATGTTTTTGTTATCTAACAAATTGCTTAGGGATAGGAATCAGGTGGTTACTTTCTCATTTAACATTTCAGTACTTCCTCCTCCTGTTCTTGTGACTGTTTTGCTGCAGAAAGAGCTGATCCTTCTGATTCCCTCTCCTGTTCCCTCCTAGAAGCTTCTTCAATCCTGACCAAATGAGATAACTTTTTCTTTGGTTGTTTATTTTTAGTTATAGGAGTAAGTGATACAGTTGAAAGCTGGGTTTCTCTCTTAGCTGAAGTGTCTGTTAATATGTTTTCAGACCCAGAAATCCCCTCTTCTCCTTGATAAGTATTGAGCAGTGTTCAATAGCAGCAGGCCAGGTCCCAGCATGGTGTTAATAAGCCAGGTCTCCTTGCAACAGCATCTTTCTTTCAAACATTCTATCACTTCACGATAAAATGTCATTTCTATCTTGTCCTATCTGCACATTTTCTCCCATGTGCCTTACCACCCACAACCACACTGCTATGAGGCCTAGGAGATGTTCCAAAATATCTTGTTAGTCTTCCAAAAAGTCTAAACTACGCTCCTAAGAAATACCAGCAGAAATATCCAGCCAAAGCATGTTCAAGATACTGAAGTTATGGCAATGAGGGAGAAAACATCACAGAAGAATGTAGTGAACGTGCCATTCTGTATTTGCTCCACAGAAAAAAAATCTTGGACAAAGATATGTAATTGTTAATGGTCTCCCTGAGATGGTACTCAAAGGACAGTCACAGCTTCAGTACAGAGCCCAAATACCAGATTAAGCTCAAGGCCAATGTCCTAAAAACCCAACCCCCCCTCCCCCCAAAAAAATGTCACTAAGCGCTACATAGCACAGCAAATTGCAAAAAAAACCCAAATCTTCAACATGTACAGCAAAAAATTGAACATGGAAGAGATCAGATGAATCACTATTGAGGACAGAAAAATCAATATTCTGACAAACTATTATACAGATAGAATTTATAATTATTTTATCTAATATGCTCTGTTCAAATCTGTCTTTATCTCAACACTTTCAAGCCCCACACTGGGTATCAAACAGGACTGCTATGGTTTAACCCCTGCCAGCAACTAAGCACCACACAACCACTTGCTTGGTCCTCTCCAGTGAGATGAGGGGCAGAATCAGAAGAGTAAAAGTGTAAAAAACTTGAGGGTTGAGATAAAAACAGTTCGATAATTAGAATTTTGTTTAAAAATTTCTAAGCAAAAAAAATATCCAAAAGCACAAGAGAGGTGGCAAGGAAACCCAAGAAAGATGAGTAATGCAGATAAAAAAAATGCTCATCACAAAATGTCTGATGACCAGCAGACCAGCCCCATCAGCCTTCCTCTAATGTTTGCTGCAGAGTGTGACCCCATATGTATGGGATATGCCTGTGCTCAGTTGGGGTCAGCTGCTCCAGCAGAGGCCCCTTACAATTCTTGTGCACCCCCAGCCTGCTCTGATAGGACTGTGTAAGAAGCAGAAAAGACTTTGGCTCTGTTCAAGCCCTGCTCAGCAGTAACTACAACATCCACCTGTTACCAAGACTATTTTCAGTACAAATTCAAAGCAGTCACTGTGAAAAAATCCAACTCTATTCCAGCCCAAACCAGCACAATGCACTAAGCTCTACTCAGTGTAGAGCTTAGTGTGCCTCAGCACAAATGTGCAGAGCAAAATACAGTTTAATCAGAAAAATTAATTTGGAAGCAGAAGAATATTCTCCCATATCACAACAAAGGCTCAGCCATAGCTGGGATGACTGAACCCAGAGGAATATTGTTACTGTTCATGGCACCAGGCCTTTCCCCTTGCACGCACTTACATACAACCCCTAGGAGAATTAAGATATTCAATTAAACTCAGTTTGTCCTTTGAACTGTGAGATGACATGTCATATGGGAATGGGACAGAGCTGTTTCAGATTCAAATTCCATCCGTGTTCTGTAACCAAAGTTTTTCAACATCTGTATCACACCACTTCTTTTCCACACACAATTTATTTAACACAACTGAGGTTGTTCGTTTCCTAACTTCTAACCCTGAAAGAAGCAGCATTTTCACTATCGTAGTTCAGCAGCATTCTTTCCTTAGAGTTTCTTGCAAAGAAAATTAAGCTGCTGCATAAAGTGCATTTCTCTCAGCTACCTCTTTTTTAATTCGATCCAGCGCACATTTGTCAATACAATCAACTTCTCCAGAATTACCTCTTGGAATCTGAAGCCCATGATGCCTCTCTACCTACAAATTTTAACTTATCAGTACTTGGTGAAGTAATTACCATTCATATACAAATTCATGCCAGTGCTTTGAAGCTACAAATTGTTGCCTTACATGTGCCATTCACAGTCTTAACAAATAACTTTTCAGAGCCTGAAGAAATATTAATAAAAGCAGTAGTTATCAGATTAAAGAGACATTTACAGTAGAGAGCACTGGTTCCTAACAGCAAAGACAATTTTCTTCTCCCAGAGAAGTCTATACAGTGTAATTTTTGCAAACCATTATGCAAGTAAACAGCTTTGCTGTGGCAGTCTTAAACCTAAAGTGTCTCAGAATTTCCACATATAATGTAAATAATTTGTTTTACTATGATCTCCAATAGATACTTCATTGTCTACTACAGATCAGCACTATCAGACCTAAAACCAAGCCATCACAAGCTGAATTTTTCATCTCAGTCTAGAAGACATCAACAAGCTGTATGAATAACTTCTTTGTTCTGCATATTTGTGCTATTGTAGTTTCAGCATCTTGTGATCAGACATCAGCAAGTGTTTTACCTAATGTCTCTGATTGTTGCTCTTTTCATTGGATCCACTTGTAGCATGTGCTTCAAAAGACTAATTACAGATGGATTCAGGTACTGAGGGGTATAAAAGATACCATCACATATCTTCTTAAAAAGGGTTGGCACATGATCATCATCAAATGGAAGTGTTCCGCATAACAAAGCATAGAGAATAACCCCACTGCTCCAAATATCTACTTCTGGACCTGCATATAACCTGTGACAAAAAAAAATTATTAGTGACTTGTGTTTAATACATTTAAATATGTTTTCTGTCATTTTTCCACTGTCTCACAGTAATTAAAAGCACGTGAACTCAGGACAACTGATTTTGCAAGCGCTATACCATTTCAGTTCTATTCTGTGCCTCCCTTGAACTTCAGTATTCTTCCCCTTCTAATATATAACAGGGCACAAGTAGTTTTTCCTCTCTAATGTGTAACAATAATCCATATTGCAATTTCACACAATGGCAAACTGAAAGAAACATGTATCTACTGCTAAGAAAGCCCACGTTATATATTGTTATCAATGTTTTAGAGGAATCTCTGAAAAATCAGTTATCCCCCAAATTGTGGCTGACAAGTTTAAGACAAGTCCATATAGCAGAACATGAAACGTATTCTGTGCCCCTGCCAGAGTAAAAGAGACATCTGGCCTCCAATCAACAAGAGGTAATAAATATTAGGGTAGGTAGCTGACAGCAGATTTGACAATCATGGTTTACAAAACAGGAAGTTACCTCCAAAATGAGTATCTACTCTACAGCATGATACTCAACTTCACAGCAGACTCTGCCTGTGACTCTGCACCTCAGCTTCCAAGACCTGAGCTGTACAGGAGATTTTTAAAGCAATTCAGGCAGAGTGTACACAATGCATTTGGGGCATTAGACATCACCTCTACCTTGCAGGAACTATTCAAAGCTAGTTCACAGAAGCTTTAAACATTTTAAAAATTATCAGTACCACTAACAGCCCTCAGTTTCTCAGCATCAAGCTTGTCAACTGAACTAGTTGTGTACCCTTTAAAATCAAGCAGCAACATGACTGAAGTACATGCATACATGTATCCAATATAAAAGAAACTACCTTCCAGAAATTACTTCTGGTGCAGCATAGTTAGGGGAACCACAGCTTGTTCTTAAAAATTCTCCATCTGACATCATATTTGATAGACCTGGAAGTGTATAAGAGTAACTACTAAAAATTCAGGGAGCAAAATTATTTCACACTACATATACCACCTAGAACAAACCACTAGTGAATCAAATTAGAAAATTAACAAATTTACTCCAGTTAAGTAATAGTATTGTTTGGAATTATGCAATTTTTAAATGAGCATGCCACAAAATCCTCCATGTATTTTATCAGAAATCTGAGTAACATCAACCCATTACTGCCTGCAGCCTAGGGATATTTGAGAACATATTCATTCCTAGACTAGAACAGTTAAATCACACGCATGACAGAGAACAAAGTTGGTCTAAGGAAGATGAAGCAGTATAGCAAGATAGGATTTTGGTCATTAACAAGAAAGTACTAAAATTCCCATTTTGGCTTCTAAAATGCCAAAGTGGGAAATGCTACCATAGGTTACAGAGAAGAAGGGAACTGATGAGTAAACATGACTTTACTACAGTTTACACCCCTACACTCTGCACCTGGTTCCTGCATCTCTGCAGTTTAGTAGTTTGCTTTTCAGATACTCTGTAAGCAATGGAAGCATGCTTTAGAACCAGGCCAACTGCACTTACCAGCACTCAGTATAGACTAACAGCTGTAAAAAATTTCTTCTAGTTTCCTCAGTGAGGCTGCATGATCAAGACTACCATAAGCCAAAGAACTCAGTTTCCAAGAAGGAATTATGCCCTTTTATGGGTCAGCAGAGAATGTGGCAGGGAAAGAGTACAGCTTGTCTAGCTTTCATATTCTAACATACAAAAGCTTTTATTAAGCTCTTGTTTAAGCTTTATTAAGCTCTTGTTACACCACTCATGGAAAAAATAAGTGCCACAGTTTTGCTGACGCTACATTACAGGAAGACATTTTTTCAAGTTACTGTAATTCATTTCTTTACCATGTGAGCCATTTCACCCAAATAATTTTCTTCACCTAAGAAACCAATATGATTCCCAGGGCCCACACAGTTGAACACCATACTTTTAAAACATACTTCACATACTCAGCATTACCGAACACCTTTCACCGGAGTCTTACATAAGCAGGTATTATCCACTATATCTGCAAGACAGATATAGTCATGACACAGCAGTATGGATACCTTACTATTCTTATGTGGTGAGGTTTCCTGACTCAGATGGTTCCAAGACCTAGCTTCAATGCCTCTCTGCAGCTGCATCATGAACAGCTGGCATAAAAAATCAGCAGGACTAGTATTTTTTTATATTTTATTTTTAAATATATATATATGTTTGTATATTTATATATATATATTTTTTTAATATATTTATACGTTTATATATTTATTTATTTTATTATATATTTCTATATTTTCTAGTCTTTTTCTATAGCATTGTAGTTTCTTAAAGATGAACCGCCATGCACTCTTCTTCCATGAGAGCTAAGCATCTAAATTTTATGGATGGTGAAACAGAAAAGGAGTGAGTTTTGAAGAAGAAAGGTCACAAACTAAGTCTACTTAGCATTTTAGAAAAAAATATTCTTAAGTGAAACCAAACTAATCAGTTCACAATTTCAGCCAGTCACAGAAAATACCTCAAGAGAAAGCAAGAAAGCTGTAGAGGAAAACAAGTTCAATAAATATGCAAGAACATTATTTTGCTTTACATCTATTTTCTTCATATTCTTCTGTTGTATCCCACCACCATGATATTAAAGTACACACACTTTGTTTAATATTTCTTATTGTTATTAACAGGATCTAACACCAGAAATGCAATCAGATAGAAAAATAAAGCAATACTTACCAAAGTCAGCTATTTTGGCATTCATGTGTGCATCAAGAAGCACATTTTCAGGCTTCAGATCTCTATGTACTACCATGTGCCTGTGACAGTAATCCACACCAGAAAGGATTTGCTGAAACAGACGCCTACTTTCCTTCTCATCAAGCTAAAACAGACGAAGATTTTAAATAATTAAGAGACAGTGGAAGTTAACTTGTTTTTAATTTTTACTAGCCAGAGGAAACTTTCCTATGACCTAAACTTATCAATTATACTTATCATCTGATACTTTATAAAGCAGATTATCAGAACTTGTAGCAAGCAGCTTCATCTCTTAAGTCATTTTGTTTGTACCACAGCTCTAAAGTGACCCAAACAAAGCATACCCACTTGCTCATAAAGTTACTGAAAGTTCTTAATGACACTTTTGAAATTGGGTTTGGCAGTTGTTACCTACTCACTAACTAGAAACATTAGCACTCAAACATTTAGCTTTGTATAACTGGAATTATCAGTTTATTTAAGCACAGTGCAAGATTTAAGCTGGCCAAAACTGCTGAAATGCAGCACAGAAATTATATATTTCAGATACTATTTATGCTATCAGCAGCTAGTCCCAAACAGCAGACTTAGGTGGACATTTCCTACAAAGACCCATAATCCATATCAGTTTGTCCCAGCAACTGAAGAATCCTATATATCTAGTCTGTAAAAAGGGACTTCAGATCTTTCACACAAGCTGTTCTACCAGTAGAAGACAGTAATAAGGGGACAATGGTAGCTTTCTAATAATGGAATATACTAAAGAAACAGTTTTCAGCTACTCCAACTGGGTATATATTCATCTGGTTTATTCCCAGCCACTGTAAATTAACAGATTAGTAGAAAGGAAAAATGCTATGACAAAGTCACGCATAAAGATCTGGAATGTGTTAACATATAAACATTTGTACTTTCAAAAAAAAAAGACAACCCAGAGTCATAAAATATATTTTAATTGATAGCAGCCAAATTGAAACTGAATACAAGAAAACACATCCACATTTAACAAGGTGTTACCAGCACCCCTTGCTCCCAGCCCATGATATTGTGGTTAACTTAATTAACACCACTTAGTGAGGCAAGCAGCCATTCTGTGACCACGCAAGTCATGTGTTCATGTCCTCCGCCTCATTACCAGGCTCTGGGGGTCCTGTGAAGCAAATAAACAAACCAGTTTTCTTCTCCCCCTCCCTACCAGCCTCAAGATTCCTGGGTGCCAGGCTGATTATCTGCTGCTTTATCAGCCTTTAGTTCTCAGGCACAGAACCATGGATGATTGTCATGGCATACAGAATTGCAAGAGCAGCCAGAGTTTGATGTCTTTAGCATCAGTTATGAGTACTAATGGGAATGAAACCTGGGACTTCTCAGCGGCCACAGACACCTCCAGCTTCCTCTGAGATGGAGTGACTTGTGCTCATCCCTATTACTTTCAAGGCTAGACTGTGATTGTTAAACGGATACAGCAAAATATGTGTTAAGATTTGACCAGATCTACAGAGGGCCTAGGTGAACAGATATCCCAAGTTAGGTTGTGTAAAAATTCTGTACTACACTACTTATAAATTATAGTATATTCATTCTGCTCATAGAAATCCTGTGCCACTCTAATCATAAATCCTGTGCTACACAAATCATAATATTCTTTTGAGAAATTAAAACTTTTTATTGTATCATTCTGTCAAAGATGCCCAAAAAGATACCCAAAAGTCTATCCCCTCAGTGTAGAGTGACATAGGAATGTTGCAAATGCAATAACAGAATGCAAGTCACTGATTTGCAGAGCTGAACTACTTCTTACCCTTCCATTTTTACAGATATAATCGAACAGTTCTCCTCCTGAAACATATTCCATCACCATGAAAATGTCAGTGGGTGTACTGATGACCTGGTACCTGATAAGAGAAGGTATCTATTAGTCTATACACTCAGTAAAGCACTAGTTACACTTAGTTAAAGCTGAAGTCATACAAATAATCAGATAAAAATATACTTTAAAATAGTTATCAGACCATCTACAGCTACTGGAATGACAATATTTTTCAGAAGCTTTTTACTCTCCTTTCACTGTGTGATACCACCAGTGCAAAAACTAGCAGAGAATTTGTAATCCCTACCAGCAATATCAGTCCTTGCTCTTTCAGAGGAACAAGTGATTTCTTTAATAGTGTTTAAGACTGTAAGACTGTATAAGACAGTGCTGCCTCATCAACAGCCTGATGCAGTGAAAAGGGATTTCAAAAGGACTAGTATTGCAAAAATACACAGTTTTCAACATTAACATGCAAAAAAATTAACTTGCCATAAATGAAAAAGTGTACTTCGAGACTAGGAAAAAATTCCTCTTAATAATGATGAATATTAATATTTAAGAGTATTGATCTGTGGTTGTTATATTTTTATCATTCTATTTCTATTATATTTTAAAAACATAGCTTTGAAATAACAAGTTTAAGGACAAAATCAAAATTTAAGAGATTTTGATTTTTTCTAATATCCTTACCTAAAAATTGTTTCATCTGTTCTCTTTACAGCATTCCACATGCAAAAGAAAAAATTTTCCCTGAGAAAGAAACTGTCATCTCAAATCTGCTAAACTGTCTTCAGTTTAGCAACACCACAAGCACACATTCCTCTTTCACCCTGGTATGTCACTAGTTGCACTGACACTTCCTCTTCTGCTCTGGCAATAGGTATGCCCTTTGGACCCATTCACAGATTAACTAAAAGCAGAAGCAATTTTGCTGACAAATCAGCTTAACAGCCTTCTGAAAACTAGCCTTCTGAAGAAGTGGGTGAGTTGACCTTACACAAAGTAATTTAGCTTCAGTGTAACAGCTGTTGCTGAATTAAAGGGAGTGCAGAAACAGGGCATCTGCCAGTGGCAGTGGGGTCTTTAGACAAAATTCTACCAATAAAACAACCGCCCACATTATGACTAAGACAGTGGAAGTCACCCACACTATGAAAGAGCAGATTATTTTAACAGGAAATTAGAGTCAAGGAAAATCAATGTTACTTATAATTTATTACCACAGATGAGACATGAGGGGTCTACTCTGGGACACAGCTTTACTTTGAAATCCACTGACGAGCTATTGATCAACTAAGAGATGTAATCAGGCACATTTTAAATACCACATTTACACAAAGGATAGCCACTACACTGAAGATTTCTGAAACAGCAATCAGATTTATCAAATTTTACATCCTTTATTCAGAAAAATCTTGCGGAGCACCATCTACACTGAAAAAACATATATCAATGACCAGCACATCACTAAAAACACTTTGAAAAGATACAATAAACTTGCTATAGAAATGACCTTTACACTCTTGTTCTTAGTAACTCATTTTCCAAACAGGACAAAAAAAGAACAAACATAAACAGAAAAAGTAAAATGAAGTAGCCACTAAACTCAGAGATGACTGCTACCATAAGTATCTATCATGACACTCTTTCATACACCTGTCCAAAGAATGTCTAAGCAAAGATCTAATGGAAACTCTCCAGCCTGCAATAAAGCCCAGCTTGGTAAAAACACATTACAGAGGGCTCAGCTGCACACTTTGAAGCTGGTTATTTCTCTGAGAAGATAAGTATACTTATATACCTGTAACAAGTAATACTACTGTTTGTAGTATAATACTACTGTTTGTAGTATTATACTTTAATACTTTAAATGCATTCTAGACCAGTGAGAGCAAAAAGAGATTACTGCCTAAATAATTTGATTACAGTAAGCAAAACTTACAGCTTAATTATATGAGGATGCCTGAAGAGTTTGAGGTTCTGAATCTCCCTGCGGATTTTGCCTACAACATCAAGGCTGCGAATCTTCTGTCGATTCAGGATCTTCACAGCAACTTTATGCCCAGTTAGCTCATGTTTTCCAACTGCAAGAAACAAGGAAGTATTTAGTCAAGGTTTTCAATTGCTCAGTTAAGACATTATTTCTCCTTTTTGAATGTAGCCAAGTTAAGACACTAGCATTCCACATATCCCCATTATCTTTGGGGAGGTTGAAAACCAGATGATAGGGAATTTCTTCAGCCCTACTCCAATTTCTCCCACAATTTTATCATTAGAAGATGCATACATGTAAGAAATTCCTTAAACCTAACCAACAGAATCTTGCAGCATAACATTTTTTGCAATACTGCTTTAAAAAAAGAGGGAAAAAAAAAAACCAAACAAACCAAAAAAACCACCCAAAAAGCAAAGCATACCTCCAAACCCTGTTATCCTTGCTAATTAGAGAGAGCATTCCCACTCACTGTGTAAGTCACTCCAAGCTTTTGGCTTGCTTGGCAATGCACTCAAACATGTTTTCCTGTACCTCTTCTACTTCATCTGCAAGGATCACTCCTATCACTCCCTCAAGAAGCCTGCTTCAGCAATTGCTCTGAATTACGAGTGTAAGTACTGATCAGCTTACTTATAAAAATGTATCTGTCCTTGGAGCTGTCTGACAGCTCCACATTCTGTGCAGTTAACAACAGAGCTTTATTCTATTTAAATAAGTGGCAAATGCAATGAGAAATGCACAAAAAATAGAACAGAAACAAGGAAAAACAATGCAAACATGCAACCTAATGTGTTCCTACAAGTCGAAAAGAAACTGAGGACAATTTCACTGTTCTTTAAACAGAGGAACTAAAAAGTATAAACTATTTCACAGCAAGTTCTCTCTTAAAGTCCTTAAATTTTCAAGTGCTATTGGGAGTAGTCACAGCAAAGTCCATCAGAATATTTTTCTTAAACACAAAACACGATCACAGATGGAACACCAAGAAGCTAAGTATCTCTTTTACTAGAAGGCTTCCCTATCTGCATGGCTGCCACATGCAATGATTTTAATAATACCATTCATCTGCCACCCTGACTTCTACCTTCCAAAGATAAGCCAGATTCTCCAGACACATGCATGGCTCATCCTTATCCACATGAACGGACATTTGTAACTGAACTGTGCTGAACACAATACTCATTTGGGTGCCGACCCTCACTTGAGAATTTAAATAAGCCCTGAGCTTCAAGTTTTATCTAAACATATCCATGGAAAGCTGTGATTAAACAGCAGTGATCCACAAAAATCTTTCTGCATTCAACAGATAATCTGGATAGAATAAACAAACACCCATCAATTTGTAAATTTCATTCCGGCACAAAATACCTTTCCGCTGCCTTCTGCCTCTATATCAAGCTAAAAACCAATGCAAGTGAGAAGTTCTTAGCAGAGAGCCAGAAGACAATAATAAGCATCTGCACGCTTTTTCTTACAAGAAGACAGCCACCTATAAAATTAAGCAGCCTAAATTCCTATAGGGAACTAAGCGGTGGATTACCCAAGATCCAGAACCATCACAATGCTGCACTGAGATATGTTCAGCACATGAAAAAACAAAAGAGCTCTGGCTAGGATGAAGAGACATCCCCTAATTCAGAGGGGCCATTACCTAACAAGGGCCACAATCAACAAAGTACTGGGCAGGCATATTCCACTACTGAGGAACGCAGGACAAAGTTGGAATCCATAGCAAGTTCTAGAGAGACCACAAAGCAGTGGCAGGTGAGTGCCTAGAAATGTATGAGAATTATTTGCTTTGGACCACACCTACAATCAAAGCAATCGCATTCCCTTTATTTTCTTCAAATGTGATTGCAGTTTAAAAGAGTCAAATTATATCACCTACATTCAAACACTCAGGAGTAAAGAATCACCATAAAATGATAAAAATTAGAAAAGGAACTATTCTAATTGTAAAGTCTTTACCCATCCATAATGGGAACTGATGTACATCAGGATTATTTGGGGAAAAAAAACCAAAACCAAACAAACAAAACCAAAACAAAACAAAACCCCCCCATCCCCAAAAAAACAAACAAACAAACAAACAAAAAAAAACAACAATAAAAACCCCTCACAACTTTAGTCAGTAAGTTAAAATGTAACATTTGTTTTTGTTAGCAAGAAACAACTTCTTAGAAACCAAGCAAAAATCTTTTGGTCAAACACATAAATCCACATCATCTTTTTCTGTACAAAGTATATTTAAGATGGTGTTTAATACAGTAAGTAACATACATATTTGACCAAGTCTAAAGCTTAGGTATAAATAGACAGTTCTGATATGCACTGGGTTATAAAATTTCATTTTTAAGCCGCTTTGTTTCATTTCTGATTTGTCAGTCTACCTTAGACTGGAATTCCATTAGCACTCAAAAAAACATTAGAAAGTAACTCATTAGCTACAATCTATGCTCAATATGCAAGGCACATAAGAAAAGAGCTTTTCAAAACAATTTTCTTTCAAAATAATTAAACAGTAACATTTGCAGTTCACTGAAACCAACTCTAGCTGTCACAGCCTTCAAGGCTGTGAGCCTCAAGCCTTAATTTTATTCACTGACTGGGAGATTTTCTGCTTCTTCAATTCCACCAGCTCTGAATAAATTATTGTAATGAAAACATACTATGGTGTGGTGCCAGTGCAGAAAGATCCCAAAAAGCCTATTCTCTTGTTTTGGACGTTTCAAATTAAATTTCTGTATTTTTCAGAAACATTTGGATTACTGTAATTCAATTTAAAATTATAACAAATCTAGCTTTTTAAGATACAAGTAGCCTTTCCTGGATACAGTTCAAGGTATCTGTTACCCCTAAAACAGCAGATACCAACTGCTAGCGGACTGCTGACACTTTTGAATTCAACATTAGGATAGAAGTGAAAGCTTCACACCAGATGATAACATCACCTAGAAACGTAAGCAGCCAGTGCTACCTTCCTGAAACCTATTTTGCATTACCACTTGATGGAAGTTTTATAGATAAAAACTTCCTAATCCGGAACTAGCTATCAGTCCTTCAAAACAACCTATGCAAAAAAAAAAATATATATATATATATAATTTAACAGACCTAGTATATTCCTATATTTCTTTTTTTCTGATAATAGTAATTGCCTTCAAACTTCACTGTGGCTTTGCATAGCATCAAGATTTTCATTACCACAACAGAGTCTCAAAGCAGCAGTGACTTATTATTAACTGTAGAAGTGCAGGAGGAAGAGTCTCCATCTTGTTCAACAGTTCTTGAGCTGGAAAAAAACTGACTTTGAGGCCATGCCGACCAAATACAACATACTCATGAAATACACTAGTCATTAAGCTTTCAGAGAAAAAAAAATAATAATCTGAAGGTTAAATTGTATTTAATGAAACAATTCACAGTAGGCCAAAAAGCAAATCCAAAGCTCAGAGGGAAGCAGTCTTTAAGAGTATCAGCTAAACATGTTTTCACTAACATGGGAAAAGCCCCTAAACAACAATAGTTTGTGCTGTGCAAAGCCATCTTGCTGCACAACATCAGATACCATACTGACCTGCACTGTTCATTTCCAGGTGTCTTATTGCTGCCTTGACCCAGACCACTTGGTTTGCAGTCTATACAGAACAGTGTTGACACTCTAGAGAGCTGGAACAATTATTGCATATTTAGAGCCTTAAGTAACAGCTCTTGTAGTCTCAGTATGGACCACTGCAAGCCCAAGTACTCCTCCTTTTATGAAAGATAACTTAAAAAAAAAAAAAAAAGTATCTGGAAATAAGTTTGCATTTAGTTTCAGCAGAAAACATCAGCAGTGCCTAAAAAAATTGGTGGAAATAGGGATAGATGTTTTACACTGAATCCTACTAAAGTCTGAACATGAATGTGCCTCATACATTGGTTTAGATTCAGTATTCTTCCACCTCAGCTTTTCACTTTAGTGGTATTTTAACTTTGTCTAGATGATGGCTAGGAACAGGTATTTCTGTGATTGCCCATCTGAGGCACAGGCAGGTAAACCAAGTCACTCAGAATTCCTTCAGAGCGGCACAGCCAGGTGAAAATGATAAACTGGACAGAATCACACCAGTGACAGCTAAGAGCAGCATGAATTCATCTGAAAGTGACAGCAGGAGGGCTTTCACAATTACCAAATAAAGCACTGATTTTCCAGTCCTATTTTTCCAGGCTGCCACCACTGTTAGAATAAAACATTCACTTAGCCTGACCCACTACATTACATGAACTCAGGGTATATGCTAATGGAATTTAAAGAAGTGAACACACATTTTTCACCTTATGTCAATTGATGAAACCGTATCACCAGAGAAGGAAATTATGAAAACAGGAAAACAATTGCAGATCTGGTATTAAGTTAAGAAACTGTGTGGTCAAGAGGAAAACCATTGCATCATAGATAAAATGTTCTTTATTAAGCACAGATGAAGCAAGATAAAAGTAACACAGTACAACATATGGGGACAAGAAAAGCAGTACTGCAACAGTGCTCCCCTAAATTTAGGATCGTACTAGAACACTGATGGTATGTCAATCCTGGTCTTCTGCAGTGTGCTGGGTAAAAAAACCACAGAACAAACATAGCTTTGTCCCCTCCCCTCAAGCAGGCAGTCCTTCCATGAGGAAAGAGAACCCAGTGCTTGTCTGCTGCATTACGTTTTTTTTCTCTCTACTCAAGGAAGTACTAAGTTCCCACAGAAAAAAATGGTACCCCAGCTGCCAGATGGGGTGGGGAGGGGGGTCATCACTGCTCCCAAATGGCAGGGGCTGTCCCTTTATATGCTTCTCTTGAAAAAGAGACTCAAAGGGCTGTGCTTTCCAAATTTTTTTTACTGCTTTCCTAGAGCAAAATATCATCCTATCCACTATACATTATTAATTTTTTCCAGTACAAATCAATAGCTAAAAGAGCTTGTGCAGAGCACATATAATGGATTAGCTATACTGGGGAAAAAAGCTGAGGTTTTTTAGCACCTATTAAGTTAACAAAAAAAAAAAAAAAAAAAGAAAAAAAAAAAAAAAAAAAAAAACCCCCCCCCCCCCCCCCCCCCCCCCAAAAAACCAAAAAACTCCCCACAACTCCTATTGAGAATACAGCCTGAGCCTACCTCTACTCATTTGAGAAAGGATGTTTTTGATTTGCTTGCCCCAATATTTGAAGTTCTCACAAACAACGCGGCAGGAACAGTGTAAAGTAATGCACAGTCCTGCCATCTGAGATGAATGGTACTATGGGGAAGTCTAAATTCTACCTTATTTCTACTAGCCTTCAAACAGCCGTACGGCACGCATAGCCCTGCACTGGAAAAATTTTTAAATCTGAGCTGAAAAAAAAAAAACAACAAACTTTGCTAACCACTGGTCAAGAAGATTAACATGAAGTTTTTCCCTATCTGCACATCAGCTGCGTTACCAACTAATCAAACAATCCCAGACCCGTCTTTTTACGCTTATTTCTCTGTAGAGAGAGAAATCTTGCCTTCCTTACAAGGGCATCGAGAGTTCGTACTTGAGCATCAAAATGCAATATACGAAGCTGGAGGATTTAGACTCCCTGCTTTGGTTACACGCCCGGTGCTGTTCTAACCAGAGGCAGCACTTCGCTCCCAGCGGCTGTTTCCGCAAGCACAGAGGAGGAAGCTGTTTCTGCCCCAGCCGCCGCTTCCCGCAGCGGGATCGCAAGTCCCAGCCCGGCAGCTCAGCCCGTGCAAGCCCCGCTCGGAGCTGACGGGCAGCCGATCGCCCCGCGGCCCCGCTCACCCTTGACTTTCCCGAAAGTGCCGACGCCCAGCGTATCTCCCAGAATGTAGTGTCCAATCTTCACCCGGCCGTGCTCGTGCTTCTGTTTATCCGCCACCGCCGCCATCTTGAGGCAAGGGCCGAGCCTGCGCATAGCGCCCACCCGCGCCGGGCCAGAGCGCCGGCGGGGAGGAGCAACCACAGAGCGCCCGCCCACACCCAAACCCGGAAGCGAACGGCGCACTGACCGCCCGTCCGCCCTGCCCCAGGACAAACCATTGCGGCTCGCGGGGGAGGCCGGGCCGGCCCACGGGCGCCCGGGGGAGAACGAGCCTCACTGGGCTGCGGAGCGGGAAGATGGCGGCGCGTCCGGGGCTGGTTGTCAGGTGGTGTAGTTTTGCAGCGAGGCCGCCGTCATAAAATGGACCTCCGAAACTTGTGTTTCCAATAACCTTGTAAATGAAATCCGTTTGTTCTCCTCAGTTCCTCTTCTCACATCCAGACCCTATTAGGAATACGAAGAAAAGTAGGAGTCTCTTCTCCAATTGCCTTGACCATGTATCCTGCCCCCTGGCTTGCCTTACCAACCACTCGCGCCGCTCGTTCACATTGCATTTAAGCGGCTAACTTGCCTTCCATTCCATTCCATATTTTCTATACACCGAAGATCATACTTCTTTTTTTGTTGACGATAAGTGGATTAATTTTTTTTTTTCACATTCCAACTCCGCATTGAAAGAAATATGTAAACCTGGAGAAGTGACTATTGGATGGATATTTCCAAATGGAGAGATCATCAACTGAAGAGGAAGGTTATGGGCAACTCCCATGTCTTTAGTTCCTTTCTCTAGTACTCCAGACTAAGTGAATGATTAAATCTAAAATAGTTTCTCTTGCCTACCCTACACACAGGCTCTGAATGTGTTTGCAAATAGATAAATACATGAGACAGCAAGAAAATTGGGACAATTTTATTCTAGTACTGGTCCTAAATCCAATTCAGAGAGCCTTCAATATTACTTATGTTATAGTCACTAATTTAGCAGTTGGAAACCAGAAATTCTGGTCTATGCAGAAAAATTGCATATTTAAGAAACTCCTCTATGTTAATGGCATGAAAATTTTCATGGGGAAGTAACCTTGAGGAGTGTTCCTACTCAAGGAAGAAATCTTCATACCCTCACTCTGGAAAGGGAAGGGATGTGTCAGAAGTGTGTCCATTAAAAAGTGGGACTGAACTCTTACAGTATACAAACCACCTAGATAAAGTGATTGTCAGCCAGGTGTTTCTAGGTTGCCTGTGTCAGCTCATTAGCCTTTAGCTCAGCAGCTTTACTTCAGTTATCTGCATTGTCATTTATGGGTTCCTTTCTCAGGAACTCGGCCACATCCTCATCAGTGCCAGTTTCTCTCAGGAAATATTGTTTTTCACATCCTCAGGATGTTTAACTTTGAAGAGTTGAGTCGGGCTGGTCTCAGCATTCTTCAACATCAGAAGCAGTGTGACACCCACCTCTGATAACTGTTGCTAACAAGACATAGTTTGAGCAGTTTTACCCAACTTAGAGCATCCTGCTATACTACAATGGTAACATTACACTACACTACAATAGAATTGTACAAGCTTTGAAGGGTAATTATAAAAAGAATTTGGCCTGATGCTAGATCTTTGGCTCTAAAAACCTTGTACATCACAAGTAGTAAACACACACACAAATCAGAATATACAAACTAGCATAGTTCATGATCTGAGATTTTGGGGAAAATATATGTATTGTCAGGCTATCAAATTTCAGGGTGGGATTGGATGGCAATCTAACATCAGGAAAAGAAAAATTGGCAACTTCTCTTTTGTGATGCAAAAAGCATTACTTTAACCTTTTGGAAACATTCATTGTAGTATAAGGAGAAAATTATGTGTTGAATATCACACTGGGAAAAAAAATAATGGAATAAGCCGTAGATAGAAGAGGGAAAAAATTATTTGGGATATCTGCAGATCTTGTTACTGTCTTGATAACAAATGATTGCAAGCTATTTTTTGGCCAACATCACAACTTTGAGTAATGTATTGTTAGCGTGTGGTGTGCAGGTTGTCCTCTTAGAATAGCTGTAGGAACAAAACATAACGGAGGAATTCCTCCATGAGTCTTTGAGGCCAACTTGCTTTCTGATAATCTCTCCATTACATTATTTATCTTGAAAAGCCCATGCACTACTTTAAAAACACTTTTTCTGTTTGTTCACACTGGGCATGCCTCTACTTTTAAGACAGTATTTTAAAACAAAAAATTAACTCAAAGCTGACATAATGATTTCTGTCAATTATCTCCATAACCTTATTTTGATTGAGAAAAATTGCTGCTAAGTTCCCCCAGTACAGTTTATTTCTCTTAAATGTAAATTGTTTCTATATTTTCAATAATTTATTCCCATATGTGGGAAGACTCAGGGTACTCTAGCATAAATAGAGCTGCTACTCTGTGAAAACACCCCCAGCACTGTGTTACCCAGGGTGTTACAGGTGCCACCAGTGTGGAGACCCGGCATGCGGGCCCTTTGTGGCACACAGGGAGCCAGTGCTGTGTTTCAGGGACGCAGCAAGGCTTTCCTGATGCACATCTGCCCAGACACTGCAGTGCCATCAGACCCCTGTACAGTTCAGGGCCAGCAAGGAGACCAGGAGTGGTAGATGATGTAATAATTACACAAGAAAACAAAGGACTGAAACAAAATGGAAAACATTCTCAGCTTCACTACTATGAAAGGGGGAACATTAATGCAGGTTGTTTCTACTAGCTGGCATTAAGACTTGGCATCATTGGTGCGCTTTGCAAACAGGCACATGCTTCTTGCCCTTTTCTCTTTGACTTCTGACTCTATATTACTGCTGAATGTACAGCACATTTCTTCTGCAAGCATCCGTACTGTTTCCACTTTCCCTCTCCTCCCGCTAAAAGTGTATGTTTTGCCCAGCTCTAGACTTCTCTCTCTTCTGCTATTTCTAGCTTCTAAATTGAGGACACTGCAGAAATCACACAATAACAGAATGGTTTGGGTTGGAAGGCACCTGTAAAGATTCTCTAATCCAACCTGCCCTGCAATCATTTTCAACTAGACCAAGTTGCTCAGAGCCCAGTCCGATCTCTCCTGAAACACTCCCAGGGATTGGGAGTATTATAGCTTCTCTGGGCAGCCTGTTCCAATGTCTCAGCAGCCTCATAGAAAAAGACTTCCTCCTTTTACATAGCCTGAATCTACTCTCCTTTAGTTTAAAACCATTACCCCTTGTCCTGTAACTGCAGCCCCTACTAATAAGCCTGTCCCCATCTTTCTTCCAGGTCTCCTACAAGTATTGAATGGCTTCCTGAAGCCTTCTATTCCCCAGGCTGGACAATCCCAACTCTCTGGACTCATAGGAGAGGTGCTTCAGCCCCCTGAATCTTCTCTGTGGCCCTTCTCAGGGCATGGTCCAACAGAAACACATCTTTCCTGTTCTGGAGACCCCAGAGCTGAATGCAGTGCTCTGGGGTGAAGTCTCTCTGTAGACAGAAGGACAGAGGGGCAGAATCACTTTGCTTGACCTACTGGCCACACTGCTCTGGATACAGCCCCAGATGTGGTTGGCTTTCTGGTTTCTGGGCTGCAAGTGCACATTGCTGGCTCATGTCATGCTTTTCAAGCACCATTACCCTCAATCCTTCTTCATAGAGCATCTCTCAATCCCTTGATCTCTCGGCTGGGATTTGTCTTGTGTGCAGGACCTTACAGTTGGCCTTGCTGAGCATCTTTAAATTCATCTGAGCCAGCTTGATCTTGTCCATGTCCTTCTGCATGGCATCCTGTCCCTTCATATCAATCCTGTCCCTCCAAATCAACCGTACCACTCAGATAGTGCAAAGTCTTGGAGGATGCACTCAATCCTACTATGGCACTGATGCCATGTTCACTGCAGGGGAAGTTACACTTTGACCTTCCTTTATGGCTTACATGCCTACAGAAGCCCTTCCTCTTCCTCTTTCATTCCTTGCCAGGTTTGCTTTAGCCACACATTGCCTTCCCAGCCCTGTCCTGTCACAACTGAGCAATGTCCCCATGCTCCTTCCAGGATACTTCCTCCTGCTTCCCTGCCTTTTTATTTCCCTCTTGCCCTTCAGTTTGGAAAGCAGGTCTTGAGTCAGCCATGCTGTTGGCTTTCCTTTCATGATTTCTTACAGATGGGGACTGAGAGCTCTTGTTCCCTGTGGAACACACACTTCAAAGATCTGCCAGCTCTGTTCCACTCCCACTCTGAGGGCAGTGGGTCCCATGGACTAGCTCCTAGAACCTAAGAATTGCTGAACTCTCCTGCAGGGAGGTAGGTGCTCATGCAGCCTGCTGTTGTGCCAGGGAGCTCAAAGGGCCTCACTTAGGAACACTGTTTATAGGGTTGCAAGATGACTGACTTTAGTCCTCAGGCAGTTTCCATATTAGCCACCATCCAAGGCAGTAATTACCGGAAATTTTCCAAAGTCTGTAACCATATCATTCCACTCAGGCTGTTTCAGGCAAGTAACATTCCCAGGGGATGCTATCAGGGGATGACTTACTGTTTCTTGTCACCTTCCTTGGTTAGGCAACAAAGGCCCTGGTATGGACAGTGTTTTTGGTAAATTCAAGGGCAGTTTTGGTGGCCATGAGGAGGTGGGGGAGGTGTTTGAGGACATAATACATCACCACACAAGGATCTTTTACCAAAGGCAATCCATCTTTCACCACTGTAGTCACTTGAACACCTCTATGCCTTTAAGAAACCTTCATCCAATACACTTTTAAAAAGTGAGACTTGTACACTGAACAATAGGAAATGTAATTTCTGATGTAATTTGGACTACACCATCTATCAGCCTGAAGGATGCGAAAATCATACATTACAGACTGGATATGACAATACTACTGTACACATAAATATACAGTAAGCATTATGCAGAGGTTCAATAGATAGCACTCAAGATAAAGTGCTTTATGAAATTCAGCAAAAGATCATACCCTGTGCAACCAGCAAAGCAGCCTTTCAATATTTAACAACACACTACAAAGAACAATCAAAAAAATCAAAATCTATTTCCTGTACAGTGCAAATATAACTGACACATGAAGTACACAATCCTTTCTGAACAGGACAAAAAAAACCACAAAAAAACAATTTCCTGCTTCTCACCAAGGATTTTTAAACAATTGAAAACAGCTGTCAAAATTCTTGTCCATAAAATTCATTCTTGCTGCAAGTAAAATTCTCTGCAAAATAAAGTGTTTCAGTTACTCCAAGTCATTGGAAGTTTCAGTCACTGTTATCATGGTTTATTGCTTATACTAATGTTCACTTTTCAGGAGCAGAACTCATGAGAAGCTAATAGGTAACAACAGCAAGCAGGTAAGCACTTGCCCTTAGTGTTTTATGTCTGCAGGTCAAACAGGCTGTTCAGAGCAAAATCCCATGCTACAGAAAGATCACCTACGACTTGTCAAGCAAAGGCTTTCACTCCCAACCCTGGTCAGAATACCTGCCATACCACCAATCCAACATTGCTCAAAAAGCCCTTAGAATCCTGCTGACCTGCTTTTATAATGGTCTTCAGTTTATTCTTAAGGAGTAAGGGCACATTTATGATTACTTCCTCCCTACATGTTTCCCAACCGTCACCAAAATCATTTCAGGGATACTCCTCAGCCTTGGGAATACATGGCCGGTACTGTGCAGTGTATTTTAAGCGCATCATTATCACTTACATTCCGACTTTCTCAAATGGACCAGCTGAATCTAGAGCAAGTAGTCTATTTGTTACATGTTACAGAACAGCAGCAAATGACTTCTTTTGGTTTAGACAGCTGAGGTTGATAAACTGCATTATCCGAAATTTCTAACTCCATTTTAAAATGTAGAAAAGTGCAGTTTGGTACTCCAATTTCACACCCGACTGAAAATTTCTGTGATTTTGCAGGTGATATATTAACTACTGATCATACAGAGACAAAGCAATATCCTGCTTCTGGAAGTTCATGACAAAACTAAGAGCAGTGGGCCTCAGAAGCTTAAAGCATCACAACTTTTTCAGTTTCTAGTATTGTCTCTGCAAGGCAATCTTACAGTCCTGTAAACCCTCACAGTAACTACTGCAATTCCTCAAACTTTCATAGCAGCGCTTCATAATCACTTTGTGCGAGCTCAAATGCCAGTAATACACAATGTAAGGTACAAATTAATTTAGCTATAATTTTTATGTAGCTCCATCTGACTTACTGTCTGGTATTAATTTATTATTTACACACAACACAGTTAACTCACATGTGTGTGGCTGCTTTCCACACCAATGCTACCAGGCCACTCAGGCAATTTTGTCCCACCCACAAATCTCCAATGCCCTGTATCTGCAGAACACACGCTCCAGGCTTGGGAGTTTCTTTTTGCCCAAGAAGCAATGATCCACATAGTAGCACCTTTGCAGGCTTTCCAGTATCACAGAGCAGTGAAAAAAAGAATATTGGAAATCCCTCTTTCACAAACGCCTCCCAAGACAGCACATAGAACTATTATTATAGCTACTATCTTCCAAACGAAATTCTACCTCTCCATGCTATGGCAAACTGAGATCAGAGGCACACGGGGCAAATCCCCAGTACCAATATTCCACTTCTCTAGCTGGAGACCTCCTTTGAGTAATACATACAAGCCTCTTTTTCAGTCCAGTGCAGAGATTATGGTCCTTTTCAAGACAAAGGTACTACCAAATGAAGAGTCAATAAAGGATTGTTTTAAATTAATCAGTTCAAAATTTGTGGTTTCAAGTATTTATGTATTTTCATGAATACTACATTTCAGTGAAGTATGTAAAAAAAGGTGACAGATTTTCTGGTTAAGACCATTTATTTAACAAATAGATGAGTCTTTAAGATGAACTGGAGGCTGCAACAGCTGCTCTCTTGGGCTTCGGTGTGGTTCCCTCACGGAATCCATTCCTGCAAGTAGAAATATGGTTACCACTTTCTGAGAAGTTGATTCCTGCTCCGCGTTATTTTCTGACACTCAGGTTTTAGATGAAGCTCACTAGCTTCTTTCAATTTATCTTAGTAACGCACTGAAATAAACAGAGTTCACACGTTCAGACCTTTTTAAAAAGAAACACATTATTAAAAATCTATCTACTCAAGCAACACTCAGTGGAAAGCAAGGTACAGCTGCACACTGGATGGTGTTTTATGGCTGTCATTGGAAAAGGATGAGCTAATCAAAACAAATGAACTGATCCTTCAACCACATTCATGACTGAGACTAAGTCTCTTACCTTTTTCTAATAAAGCTAATCTGCATTTTTATGACAACACTCCTGAATTACGTAGCACCTTTCATATTGCATTCTTGTGCGGTAGCCCAGAAGCTACAGAACCCCACAGGACTACACAAAATGGGAAACATACAACACTCCCACTACCTCCCAAGCACAACTCAGAAAGTTTTTAAAAAGTCTTAGAAACTTGCAACTCCAGATCTGATGTAATACCTAATCAACACTGACTGAACTCTAAAGAGAGGGACCAGAAGTTGTTCCTGTCCTGAACTTTCTTCTGAGCGAGCAAATGGGGACTGAAGTGCATTTTGAGACTTATCTCAATAAACCTTTAGTGTAATAATCTATTTAACTGAATCACAAATAAGCAAAATACCACACAAATAATTTTTATATATGAGCTTCTTACTACAGTAGCATTTATATTCTGTACTACCTTCGTTTAGTATAAACATTGTAATTTTTTATACACCCTTTGTCTTACCAGTAAATTCTTATCTTCCAAAGAGAATAAAATGCAGACAATTATACAAACCACATTATTTCATGACACCATTAAGTGGTACTAAAACCAAATTGAAATGCTGACTTAGAATGGTGAATTGTCATTAAGTGGTGTCTATGCAGGATTTCACAGCATGCTAGTCTGTAATAAAATGTTATACCTGAATCGACGGTAGACCTTTTTCAGGTGCCTCATGCGACCAGTACCAGTGGTGTTGCGTCTTTTAGCCTTTGCACTCCAGTTATCTAAAATATGTAAGACACGGTTATTTACCCGCACCAAGTAATTTTGGTTGCAAGTAACATTTGCACGGTACAATTATTCAAGCTGACAAAAAAAATTTACTATAATTGAAATCAGTTTCTGATTCATATACGCACAAATACTGCGTATTACCTAGCACATAGTTAAAGCATCATTAATTCGAAAAAAGGTCCAAACTGCAAAACAACACTACACAAAGTTTTCCTCCTTGACTGGAAAGCAAGTCAAACTACTGAAGAAAAAGTAACACAATTTTTTAAACTACAGCCAATTAAAAGTTTGTTACTTACACTTTCTCTTACGCTTAGCAGGGTAACCACATTTCCCACAGGTCGATTTTTGCAGATGGTACGCCTTGGACCCACATCGACGACACAGGGTGTGTGTCTTATTTCGTCGCTTACCAAACGACGAGGTACCCTTCGTCTGAAAAGCATTTCAAGACATGAAAATATCACTAACACTTCCAAATCGCCAAACTAAACAAGCCTTAAAAACCCTAGCGCAAACCGAGTCCTATAAACACGTCAGAGGCACATTCAACTCTAAACCACAACTCAGTTTTAATTACGAGTAGCCTCCATTTTCAGGACCCGCTGCCGCCATTCCTTATGTGCCCCCGCCCCTGTGCTGAAGCAAAACGCGCTGTGCCGGAGCCACGGCGCGCTCCCATCAGCGCCCCTCTCCCCACACCCATCACCCTAAAGCAACAAACTGCTCTCTCCCGACGAAAAGTAACTCGCTTCACAAGCAGCAGCCACACACTCACCCGTGGCGACCGAAACCCCTCCTGCTACGTTACCGCCCGGCGGCTCGGCCACGGCTGCAGCAGGTACGAAGCAGGAGTCCCCGGAGCGCCCGCGGCCCCACACCGCACCACGGCCTCCCTGCCCGGCCCGGGGCAGCAGGCGCGCCCGCCGCCAGCGCCCGCCGCCAGCCCCCGGCCTCAGCCCTGGTTTTCTCAGCTGGCTGAGGCACAGAGCCATGGAACCAAGTAAGCCCGAGGCTCCTGCATGCTTGCTGGGAGCCTCGAGATGAGTGTGCATCATTGCAAGCTTGCAGTTTATTGGAATGTGCTAAGGAAAGCAGCGGGAGGGAGGGAGGGAGGGAGGCAGGGAGAAAAATCCTCTCTTAACGTGTACCAATTCCTCTGTGAAACTCATCAGGGCAGGACAGCCTTGAGACTGAAAGTGGGACAAGATGTGGAGTGAAATGCAGACTCTGACAAGCCACAGGAGCAGCCAGTGCACAAGCGGACTGTGCATTTTGCTTTTTGCTTGGATTTCAACTCAAGGCTTGTGAGGAATTTGGAGTGAGATGGAACATTTCAGAAGGAGACGAAGGAGAGGAAGAAGGAAGAAGAAGTTGTTACAGTCCTGGCAAAATCTTTTCTTCTAGCAAATAAAAGAAGTTAATTTGAAAATAAAAAAGCAGAAAAAATCCTGGGTTTTTTTTTTTCTCCTTCAATATTATCTTCTTTGTTGCTATATGTATGGTGTGTTGTTTTACTTTTTGGTATTGTTAACTATGTGCAATTTGCTTTTTGACTGAAGGTAACTTTACGGATGGGTTGGTTTGTATTTGAGGTAGAATCAATTTCAATAGGTTTCCCTAACAGACTTCTGGTAAGTATTGTTGGGATTTTGCTTGTGTTTATTGTATGGGTGAACATACAGATTTGGGAGGGCTAGCTGGGCTGCCGGAGTTCTGGCTGTTAGTTTATGAGATGGCTTTTGTTGGATGCCGTTTTTAGTTTTTGAAAGTGGTTTCTTTTCACGTAGTGGTTTTAAGGTGGTTTTGAAGAATTTATTCTATTGTTTTATATTGTTAGTAGTTGGTGTATGAAAAGGGATATGGTGTACTTATTGAATGTTGTGATTTTAATGTTTACGAGTTTCGATTTATTTCTGCTTGGATTTTTTTTTTTTAGTTTTATTTATTTGTTTTATTCCTATTTTATTTGAATATTTCTAATGTTTAAATATTTAAATATTTATTAAATAATAAATATTTCTTTCTTTCTAAGGGGCAGTTAGGTGGTGGGTTGTTATAGGCAATATTTTTTTTTTAATTTGGGTGGTGATATTTTTAAATATTTTAATGGTTTCGTCTTAATTATGCTTTTAATTAGTTTTAATTTTTAAAAAAAAATTCTTTTTATGGATTATGGGTTCTTATTTGTGAGTTAGCATAAAGGTAGAGCTTTGGGGGCTTTTTTTAGTAATGTTTAGCATCAGTTGTACAGTCTGGTGAGTTGGTTTGATTGATTTTTGATGTGTTTTTGTTTTTATTAGCAGTTACTTCATTTTCAGTGTGTACTGGAGTTGTTTGGCTTTTTGAGATGTTGGTTGAGGAGGAAGTTTATGATTCCAAATGACGGAGGTTGTGGGCTAGTTCTAATGGGATTTTAAAATGGATTTAGAGCCAGGTTTATTTGAGTTTTGAATTGGGTTCAGTGCGGTGGGATCCTTGTTCTGTTAGGAACAGAAATAGGCTTGGTTTTTAAATGTTGCCACGGGGCCAGCGTGTGCTGCGGGCTGGTGGCTGGAGAGCGCGGAGCGGGCCCGCTGCGGGCGGTGGCTGGAGAGCGCGGAGCGGGCCCGCTGCGAGGGGCGGCTGGAGAGCGCGGAGCGGGCCCGCTGCGAGCGGTGGCTGGCGAGCGCGGAGCGGGCCCGCTGTGAGGGGGCGTCTGGCGGACCCGGGCCGAGTCCTGTGCTAGGCGGCGCCTGGTGGGGGCAGAGCCCGGCCGGGCACAGCGCGGGGCGCCTCAGGGGTGCAGCTCTACAGCAGTGCCCGCGGTGCCAGGCGAGTGGCTCAGCGCCAAGTCCTGATCCTGCTCACACCGACAGTCGAAGTTATTTTTACAGAATTACAGAATCAACAATTTTGGAAGAGATATACAAGACTATACAGTCCACTGGTCCACCCAGCACTACCCCTGTAACCCTAAAACCCCTAAACCACATCACTCAATGCCAAACACAGACGCCTATTGAATACCTCCAGGGAGAGCGATTCCACCACCTTCCAGGTAACTGATTTCTGCCCACCCGAGCACTGACAACATTTTTAACGTGAATCTCCCATCTCTCAGTTTCACACCATTTTCTATTCTGTCTGTAAGCACAGTAGAAGAAACCGGCCCTCACCACGCTACACCTTCCTTTCAGGTACTTTACATCGAAGAAGGGAGAGGCGACCCCAGATGGTCATCAGCAAACTCTCAATTTATTGATAATCATACACTTGGTTAAATACAATACTTAATTAGCTCATACATAGTGCAAAACTGTACCTCATCATTGGTTAATGTGTTATTTGCGTCATTACATCATCTGAAGGTCTCTTCTGCATTTTTGCGGTTTTAGAGCTAACTCTCAGTCCCTAATTCTGCAACTTATTGATACAGTCTTACCGAGACTTCCCCTTCTGAAGGACACCCTATCCTTCAAGATATCATTAGCCTCCTTTCCCATCTAGTTTTATCAGGCCAATTTGACTATGTCCTTTCTCATCAAGCCATTCCTGCACAAAACTCTCCACACTTGTAGAGAGCAATAGGTCTAATGGGTGAGTTTTTATGAGTGAAATTCAGGCACAGGGTACTCCTGCCTGTAACACATGAATTTCAAAGTAAGCTGCCTTGAACAACAGGCTCTCCTGCGCTCTGTTTGTCCATGTCCTCCCCCAGACCACTCCACAGTGCTACACAGTCTGCCTGGGATCAAAAGCGTTGCAATGGACATCATGGGCACAGAAAAGGGAAGTGATGACAGCACCAAGCCTGGATCCAAGAAACATTTGGACATTTGGCATCAGGACAATGCTCTAGACTCAAGGTGTGATTCTTGAGGCTGTCTTATGCAGGGCCAAGAATTGGTTGATGATCCCTAGGGGTCCCTTCCAACTCAGCATGTTCTGTGATTCTCTGAAAGTCTACTATTTAAATTCTCACATGCCTGCCTACTATGCACCTTCAGTAGGTTTACAATCTATACACAATTTTATCTTGAGAGAGTTCATTTCAGGGGAAATTGGAGAAATTTATGCATACCTTATTACCAGATCATTACCTTGTCATCCCAAACAGAGCCAGAAATTGATGCTATAGCCAGTTTATTTATCTTTGATTGTAGAATTATGTATCTTGTCTTACAGTACTTGATGAAAACATGTCTTTGTCTGGTAGGCTAGATCTCAGTCCTTGTTTACTGAGGAAAAATGCAGCTTTTCACAAGTCCGTCTGTCTGGGCCAAGCAGAAGCCAACAAACTGTGAACAACCCACCCACTATGAATCAGTTGAACCCCTGTGACATGGAGCTCATTGGTCAAAAAACGGGGTAGTCCCATGCCACAGTCCCCAGATTAGTAAAGCTGTGTCTGACCTGCTGCATTTTCACTCCTGGACAAATCATGTTCATATGGTTGTCTAAATATTAATTTGTCCTCAGTTGTTTTGGAGTGTAGCCTCTTGTTGAATTCTTTAGGTGCTAATTTATGTAGTGGGAGGCATTTGACCTCTGCTAAGGTTGAGGGATGGGGGAAAAAGCCATTTTGACTTTAGCAGCATGGCTTCCAGACCCAAAAAGTTGTGGCTCAGGCTATTCACTCAGTTCTCTCATTTTTGGGTGGCAATTTCTCTTTCTGAAATAACAGAAATCTTTGCCTGTATTAATTTAACCTCACATGAAATCCAGATGTTTACCCCATCTATGGTCCTGCAGTAGTTAAAAAGGAGAGATTGGTTCCAAATGGTAAATCATCCCATCTTAAATTAGGTGTCTGAAGTAGGTTGAAGAAATGATCCTTGGGAGTAACCCTTCTTCCATGAATTCTAAGAGAGGACTAGGCAGACCCTTTAGGCTGGGCACATAGTGGCTTAATTTAGGTAAAATTAATTTTATCCTGACTTGACTCAATGAATATATTTTATAGCAATTCTGTCTTCCTTACCAGAAATCAAAAGAGAAATGGCAGTGTGCTGTGGATGAAATACCATTCAGAAAAAAAACCCCAAAACAAACCACTTAACTCAAATGGTATGAATACATCCTACAGGCTGAACTGGAGTCATCTTTCTTCCAGCAACATTGCTGTGTGCCTTTTATCTAGTGTGTCCTCTGCTCTTTCTTTCTCAGTAAATCTCAGAAATCTGGAAGATGGCATGGACACTGGACAGGTGCCATGGCAACGGCCTCCAAAGGAAGTCTGTTGGTTTGGCTGCCTGCAAGAATATGCAGGAATTATTCCTGTCCTTTGTGGGATAAAAATAATCTTTTTCATTTACATGTCTTCAAACCTGTTCAGAAAGAAAGATTGTTGCTATCATCATGCATTTCTCTTTAGTATTCGGGATTACTTTTAGGGTAGAGAATGGGCAGAGCTGTGGCTGACCCTGTACCATTCCAGAAGGTCTTAGCTTGTGTGAAGCTCACAGGGGAGAAGAGTTCATTGTCCATTGCTCAGAACCCACAGGCTCATGTACTGGCAGCTGCTGAGCGGCACCAGTCTAAGTTCAGCACTGACTAATTCATGCTGCTTCTTTGTTGCATAGGAAGCAATCAGAAATTTAGAAGGTGACATGTCTGGATTTCAGAACTGTCTTTTTGATATAAGAAACAGGAGTCTGTCACTGAAGCTGGTATCCCATCACATCTTCCGTACAGCAATTTTGGTCCAGACAGGTTTGTTGATGGAAAAAAATCCTTTGTTGTGCCAGCAAACAGTGATCCTATTAATCTTCTAGGCTAGGGTTTATTGAGCACAATGTTCTGCACCATGTTCCTCAGCCTGGCTGATTTGGTTGGAGTTAAAACACTGAAGTGAAAAAATAGATATGCTTTTAGAAATAAGCCTTAAAGTTAAGTCTAGTTCAAGGACAGGGAGACCAGAACCAGGACTGGGTAGGCATTAGAGAGGAAGGGTTGTGTGAGCCACAGATAACCTCAGTGGCATTTGTTTTTTTCAGGTTTGATGTCATGCCACTACATCACACCATCACTGGGGTGCAGTACGGCCATACATACCTGTGGTGTGACACAAAACAGAGGAGTTTTACTGAACTTGAACTGCTGAAAGGACTAGTGTGTAAAAATGAGCAACTGATATCCAAGCAAGTTCTGTGTAATGTCATCATATGGTATGACTCATTTGTGCATGTGTAGACCCTTTGCTCAAGCAGGGAGGAGTTAAAGGGATGGGAATAAACCTTCATATATAGATGTTTGAAGGTA